TGTTCGCTTCTTCCTCACTTCGCCTGTCCGTTAATGGTCTTAGTGCGTCGGTGAAGTCATTAGCTCGTAACAAGTAGGGGTATTCCCTGATACCTGTCTGTGGGCGTCCGTCATCTGGATATTACCTGGAGTATTGTCAGAGATTAGAAAGACATCTTTAGATAAATAAGACTTTAGAACAAACTGACTTTTTTGTTAAAGATGATAGCAATGCCATAACCTTTTAAGACCTATCATACATTTCCCAAGTCTGAAAAAAACTGTTCAGTTCATATACATATACTTTAATCACCCTTGTATTTGAAAATAAAGGGCATTTTGCTTTCTCTAAGTTATGAAAAAGAGGCTTTTCCCTCCCTTATTATGAAGTAATGCGAATATTTTTTTCTCCTAAACGAATGCTTTTTACTTGTCATTTAGAAAATATTGTTTCGGATACGGCTTTTTCCCCTTTAGGAGTGTGATTTTCAACCCTTTCTCTATAACTTACCTCCTCGATTGTATGTTGCTCGTCATATACCCCTTTACTACCATGTAAAACAAGAATATCTAATGTAGACACATAACAAGAAAGCACCTTTATTTCTTATATTTTGCAAAGAATGTTCTGATTAAGAAATATAATATATAGTTGTTGATAACTCGGTTTAAGAAAAGATTTTTAAAAATCGCATCAAACATTATCAGTTGGAAAAATCGCATGCTGTCTGCTAAGATCCATCACATCGAGGGTGTCACGTATATTCTTTTTTACTCACATGGGTAAACATACCCTTGGTCAAAAAATCCCAGCTTTAGGCGAATTTGACTTAGTCATTGTCCAATACATGTACAATTATAAAAGCTTTATAATATGGTAAGTTATATTATTTTACCTCTTTTTTCATGTCTTATAAAAGTTCTTGTTTTTGATAAAGACATAGATGCTAAAAGGGAAAAATAATCAAGTGAAAGCCTTCTTGTTATACAGGTGTTTTGATTTTTCAAGATAAAAATAGTTTATAGGGGTCTTAAATGTTTTTGCTACTATAACAACTAGGGAACATAGTGAAAAATCATAGGCAAAGGATGTTAAGATATATATATATATATATTTTTTTTTTATTTGGTAGGACTTTGTGTTAAGATATTCAGAAAATATTAAAGAGATCGAGTATCAAGTTTTATTCAGTGCCGACGTAAAAAATATTTCTCTCTTTGAATAGGGAGATTTGAGAAAATGTATGCATGTGTTACTTAAAAAGCTGTGTCTGAATGTAAATCACTATAGTCCGACGGTTGGGGTGATCATCTTTTAAAGATAACAACTTATCTAGTTCCATCTCTTGCTGCATATTTGTAGAAAGGCAATGACGGGGAAATCGAGAAGTAAAGTTTGGTTGAATTATACACGTTGGCAAAGTTATTTGTGTCCTTTTATGATATTTTTCCCGTTCTTGTGGGAGGCAAAAAAACATATTTGCTAGATAAATGAAACTACAATAACCAAAAATTGCCGTAGTCCGACTTAAAGATAGCAACTTATCTATCCCCGTCTCTTATAGCATGTTTGTACTGGTGAGAAAGATCATGACGGGGAAATCGAGAAGTAAAGTTTGGTTGGATTATTTCCCATCGGCTAGGCTAATTGTGTCTTTTTTACAATATTTTTCTCGTTCTCGTTGAAGACAAAACAGCATATTTGTTAGGTAAATGAAACTACAGTAACCAACATTAGTGGTTACCGTTGCATAGTTCCTTTTCTTTGTATATACTTGCAGGGAGGTACTATAGACAATTTTGTGGAGGAGGAGTAAATTACTGAAAAGCTAGTCCACCTTCTGTTCTGATTCATCTTTTTCTTATGTCATCATAAAACGGAGGATCTCTAATCGATGTTTACCCTGGTCTTTTTATATCAGAAGAGAATGCACTGTATTGACGTGCAAAGATACGGCTGTCTGCATAGAGTTATACATATGGGAAAGCTGAACATATTTCCTAGTTTGCAGATTGTACAAAAATTGAGAGCTGAGGCGGGAACACTTTTTGGGAAAAAACATTGCCTCTTGAGGTTAATTAGCAAATCATAGCTGGGTCGGCACATGGGGACAGGTGGTAGATAATTAGTTGTTCAGACGGAAATAGGAGGGGGAACCCCGTTTTTGGTCTCGTGCAGATGCGTTGAAAACCCTATTAATGCTCTCTAAATAGAATAAAACCTGTCGGCTTTTCAACCTGTTAGGTAATTAACCTGTTGTATAAGCCTGAAATTTTCAAACGTATGAGATAGTGGGTATCGCATTTACATTTATACAGAAAATTTAAACCTGTTATTTTTATTTTATTTGTATTATCACCTGTTAGGTGCGTTTTTGTGAAGGTCATAATAAAGGCATATTGAGTACAACAAGAGTTTCATGATCCTTTTGACTGAATTGTATTTTTATTAGAAAGATGCCTTTGGGATGTAAGATAGCTTATCAATCGTCTTGCGAAGTTAAGAAATTTCTGTTGTGTTATTCTTATTAGAGTTGCATCTTTGTTATATTATGCATTTGTAAACATTTGTAAAGATATTGATTATAGTCTTTGAAATGATTTTTTCATATATGCATATGGAGTGAGAAATGGATATTGTCATATACATATATATTTTGTCTTATATTTACATAATGAGAACATTGATAATCTTAGTAAGGATTAAGATGGGTTTCCTATTTTGATTGGTTACACCTCAAGACGGGACTGCACCACCGCTGTCGTTACCTCTGAGCAAGAAGAGATGGTCATATTATCACCCTCGTTATATGGAACTCGGGTGATATGATTTGTATTTGTGTCTGTTTGTTTGTACTAAAGGCATATTTGAAGACCTTAATAAAGACATTGAGTACAGCAACGAATTTTATAATCCTTTTGACTGCAATGAATTCTTAATATTGAGGTGTTTTGGCGATTTAATGTAGACAACGTGTCAAGACATTTATGGATTATGATGAATTAGGGAGGGGTGATCACTCGTCTGTAGCAGGATTAATTATCGGTTCAGTTACATGTTTAAACATGGTGAATATTGCCAAAGTGTTTATACAATTGAAAATGAAGGTATGTATTGTATGACGAATTTTTATAATCTATTACAGTTAATTGTATTCTTATCCCTGATATGGCGAGGGAGGAACAGTAATTATCTGTCATTAGCAGACCTGTGTGACCTATTTAATATTGATTTTGCCAGTTAAGTGTGTGTGAGCACCTTGTATAGTGTTTATACAATCGAAAATAAAAGCATATATTGTATAACGAGTTTTATAATCCTTTACACTTAATTGTATTCTTATCTCTGTCATAGTGAGGGAGGAGCAGTAATTATTGGTTGTTGGCAGGCCTGTGTAACCTAGTTATTATTGATTTTCAGTCATTAGGAGAGGTGGTTCCCTCGTCTGTAACAGAATCAATTACCGATCTCGGTACAAGTTCAAACATGGTGAATATTGTGGTATGAGTGGGAGGGGATAATGGGTGAGTCATCTATAGCATCTGCCTGTGTGTGAGACATCACTGACTATGGGTAATGATTTCGGTTGCGGTTATTGATTAGTTAATTGTTTTCAGTGGTTATCTTTCTGTTATGATGTGCTATTTTGAACTGTAAGGTGTGCGTGCTAGCCATCATTAGCTATGGTCTAGTGGTTACCTCATGATCATTAACCTGCTTGTGACGCCTCGTCTGTAACAGAATCAATTATCGATCTCGGTACAAGTTTAAACATGGTGAATATTGTGGTGTGGGTGGGAGGAGCAACGTGTGAGTCATCTATAGCATCTACCTGTGTGCTAGACACTGCTGGCTACGGGTAATGATTTCGGTTATGGTTATTGATTTGTTAATTGTTTTCAGTGGTTATGGTGTACTATTTTGGGATGCAGTGTGCGTGCTAACCATCATTAGCTGCGGTCTAGTGGTTTGATCATTAACCTGTGTCACCTGTCACATGCATTGGAGGGTTCCTTGTCTGTAACACGTCATTAGTTCCAGTTTCCTTTCACTATTTCTCTTAATGATGTATCATGTACGAACATAATACACACAAGTGAAAGTAGGTTAATGATTTCCGGGTCTTAATTATGTTGTTATGGACATGTTGTGGTTTGCGGTTTGCGGTTTCGTCAAGGTCATTGGTTACGTCATTACATCATTACATCATTAGTTCCAGTTTCCTTTCACTATTTCTCTTAATGATGTATCATGTACGAACATAATACACACAAGTGAAAGTAGGTTATTGATTTCCGGGTCTTAATTATGTTGTTATGGACATGTTGTGGTTTGCGGTTTGCGGTTTCGTCAAGGTCATTGGTTACGTCACGCCCACTGGTAGGGGGAGGGGAGGGAATGGGGGTGAGTCGTTCTGTCCATATATACACTACTGAGCACATTTTATGATATTTGATTATTAGATTTATTAAATCATGATAATACATATTTGAAATTTTGCAAAATAGAGGGTTGTGAAAGTAAAAATTTGAATATATATGTAAATACAGTGAAACAGGTTATACTGTATATAAATTCACCATGACTATATTTTCTTGATCATGATGCTCAGGTAAGAACTAGGTGACAAATGTGAGGTATTGTACAAAAAAAAAAAAAAAAATTGTTTCTATTTTTTTCTATATTTTGTTTGTTACGGACTGGATATGATTTCGTTACATTGATGTATTTAACTCATTGACCAATTTCCTGCAGACATGAGCAGAGATTAAGAGAGAGTCTAGAAGATGAAGAAGAGGAATCGAAAAACAACAAAATAGGGCTTATTAATCATTCGTGTTTTCTCTCTTTCCTTGTTACATAATGATGAGGGTTTTTTTTTTTACACTTTGTTCCATGTCACCATCACTTTTGTGGAATATTTAAAGTTGTAGTTGTAAGTTGAAGTGGAGAAAAAAGTGGAATTTTATTGATATTGGAGGACTGTGTTTGATGATAACATTTACCTTTTTTTCCACAGTATGGATTCAATTTAGTTTTCGAATATCGAGAAGCCATCGGTTATATTGCTCTTAGTCTTAATCATAGGAGTTTAAGGTTAGTAACAAACTTTTGATACGAGGCGCTGTGGATAAGAGGGCTTAAGTTATAATAACAGGTCTTTCTTGGTTTGAGAACTGCAGTATTTACAAATAGGACTTGTAAAAAATCATAACAGATCTGAATAAATGATATGAATGGCGATATGTGTGCTGGTTATCATATAATGATTCTTTATGGATTTTTGCTATATTTTTTATTTTATTTTATTTTATTATTATTATTTTTCAGGGCAAAGGCACACTAGTAATCTTAGAGCTCTTAGCGGCCATCTGTTTAGTGAAGGGAGGACATGAAATCATTCTCATTGCCTTCAGTAACTTCAAGGATGTCTGCTCGGAGACACAACGTTTCCAGACACTCATGAATGACTTCTCAAACTATGACTGTTTTTACATTGAATTCATGGCGAGTTTCTGTTCATGTTGGGAATGAGGAGAAGAAAATCTGTGTTAGATTTTCATTGTCTGTCTGATATTATAGTACATAATTCAGTGTCATAAAGATGTTGTAGAGTAGAAATCGGAGATACATATAATTCGCTTAAGTTTGATAATGGTACAAAAGTAATGATGTAGATTTGATAAGTATTTTCTTTCTTTTTCTCAATTAGGTGGCTTGTATGCAGTTCATCAACATTGTGGAAAAACTAAGACACCATGAGAGCAAAGAATTACAGGTAAAAAGAAAAGATAATTGTGAATCATGAATATTCATTTTTTAGTATATGTAGGGATATAATTCATTTTGGATGTTGTGCATTAATGAAAGTCCTGTGGAAATGCTATTAGAATTGGTCAGATGACACATTTTGCAAAGATTTTTGAAAATTATTTTGAATTCCTTCAGATTCAGATTTCTGCATACCTCGATAATGTTTTCGACGTAGCTGCGCTCATGGAAGACAGTGAAACGAAGATAGCAGCACGGGAAAGGGTGGCAGAGCTGGAAGATGAACTCTCACACGTAAGTCTTGTGCCCTGAAATATACTTTATATTTCAGCTATTTCAATTATGTATTAGTTAATTGAGTAGTAGGGTAATTGTAACAAATAGTTTTGATCTTGTGATTTTGCGTGTCATGAAAGATATTTTATATTTTCTGTTGTTTTCTTCAAAAAGTATGTAAAGACAGTTTGTGGGGAATAACTAGAATATCAGATAAAAGAGACTATAATACTTTTTTATTGTTATTGTTATATGGAGGATGAATATAACGTCATTGTATTCTCTCTTCTCAGATTCTTTAAACATTTTTTAAATAAAAATTTTCTGCAAGTTCAGGAGGAAGTGTCAACTCTACGAAGGGAAGTGAACCAGAAGAGCGGAGTCACGGCAAAGACAGTCGTTATTGGAGAAGCAGATTGTAGAACTCGAAACACTTGCTCGCTCAAAATCTCAAAAAAAAAACAGTAATAATTATTATGATTTTTAAAGAAAATAGACATGACTGAAAGAAGTGATTAAATATTGTGAAAGGGAACAGTGTTTGTTTAATAGGTTAAATCAATCTTTGTAAGATTTTATCTTCATAATTATTGATTATTATTCTATGTAGGACTTGAAATATCATAATTTTTTTCTTCTGCGATTTAGTCTTTCATGAATTCATTGTAATGAAAGGAATTCGTGAGATCAGAAACTCTTTTTTTAAGACCAGAGAAAAAAAAACATTAAAAGTTAATTAATGGCAAATGTCTCTCAAGTGGCGATATCTTCGATGGGGCAGGACCAGCTCTTCCCCCCCCACCTCTACTACCTCCCCCTAGGGTTGGGATGGCCCCTGCTCCACCACCACCACCACTTCCAGGTACCGGTGGTTGCCCACCTGCACCTCCCAAGTTGCCGTTTGGTATCATGGGTGGCCCCAGACCCCCTCCACCCATACCTCCATCCATGGCATCTGCTGTCATGTCTCCTCCTGACTCCATGACCATCAAGAAGGTCAACACCAAATACAATCTTCCGACGCTCAACTGGGTGGCATTAAAGCCTAACCAGGTAAGATCTTTTTGTTGAGCTTAAAGATGAAGTTTGATTTTCTTCCAGTCGCGTTTTGGATTTTGAGGTCGCGTCCTGTTCTGCAAGTTCTGAATCAATTAATGAGTTTTTTCATCTATTTTTGTGATTTTTTTTCATGTACATGGAGAAGAACACAGCCATGTGTCAATATGATAATTAGTCTTTAGATATATTTTGAGCTTATGATATGCACTAAAGAACATAGACATATTTAACCCAGTACTGCTGGGGGGTGACATGTCCATAGTGAGTTTGGTTTATTAAGTGCTTATTGCTTAGTCACCTAGGAGTCAACAATTAATCCTGCCCATCTCACCTGTTTTCCTCATTTTTTTGGAAATACTTTATTTTATTTTGTTTATGGGTATTCGTATTATTAACATTGTATAATTATTATGCCAATAATAGAAATACCAACATCAGTATTTACTACATTAAAAAGGAAAACTTTTCCTGAATACTCAAGGAAAATAAAGTGAGGCAGCATAGACTATTCATTAAGTCTTTGGTGGCTGAGCACTTGTGGAGACATCTGTGTGTAGATATATTCCACAAAACAATATGAAAAGGGGCATCATATTTCCCAGGTGACGTTAGGTTAAGAGAAACAAAATATCTTTAACTGTAGCAACAAGTTATCTACAAGTGTATTGTGCACATGTATACTTACTCATATATTCTAATTTCGCCTAGGTGAGAGGGACAATCTTCAACGAACTAGACGACGAGAAGCTCTTTAACTGAATAGACTTCTCTGACTTTGAAGAGCACTTTAAGATTGGACAAGGAGGCCCGAGATTGGCCAATGGGGACGTTTCAGAGGTGGACGCACTCCATGGATTTGGGAGCAAGAGATTCAAGAAGCCTGAATTAACCTCCTTGATGGAAGGCACACGGTTGCGAAATATTGGTGAGTGATGACAACTAGTGTGATTTGAGTGTCTGTATATAAGTTGAGGATGTTAGTATTATGTTTGATATTGTAGTCTCTATGATAGTGATTTCATTTGAAGTAGATGTAATTTTTATTTTGTATTTATTTATGTGTGTGTGAATGTGTGTGTGTGTGTGTGTGTATCTGTCTATACAATGTATGTGCATATATGTATTTTGCTTATTTGAAACCAAATCAAATATGTAAAGTGGCTCTAATCTAATATGATCATATTGATATATATATATATATATATATATATATATATATAAATGTTTTTCTTATACAGTTACATATGAACATTTGTTTGGATTGTAATGATGTGTAATCCAAGTTGGGTAAAGGTAATAGTGATTAATCCTAAGCTCCTTTCTTTTCCATCCACAGCCATCTCCAGGCGAAAACTGGATCTGCCATTTGACATAGTTAGCAGAGCCATCAATTCGTTAGACTTAAAGACGCTGAGTGTAGAGAGTGTGGTCATTACAGCCAATTTATGACTTAATTGGACTCTTCAGATGTACTTGTAAAATATAATCCTATTTTATTGTTTGCATATTTGCAAAGGGCATTACACCGGAAGAAGTTTTGTTTGTGTTTGGAAGAGTGAAAAGGAGCCTTATTTTTATTAAAAGAAGTACAATACAAGATTGTTGTTGTTTTTTTCTAATTACAGGGTTATTATTGTGGTCTTGATTATTGATTATTCAGATGATGTAATTTTGACAGAATCATTATTACAGGGATAAGACTTTGACCCAAAACTGCCATAATATGCAATATTAGTTCACTTTGTGAAATGTGCTTACATATAGATGGCTCCTGAAGTGCTCAGCCATACAGATTATAAGAGTGCTGGATATAACACAGAGATGGCATAGGTAACAACAATACTAGTGTGAACTTATAGATAACAAGAGAAAGGTTTTAAACAGGGCTTTGGGTGAATAGCTATCCAAATATCTGTTAGTGTGTTATGTATCTTAATTTGCACATGCTGATATAATGTAAAGCCCTTGTTAGTCTTGGAAATGAGAAAATTAGGAAACTAGTATTTAATAAGGTAGTATTTATATTTTCACTTGCAAAGTTCCTAAAAAAATTGCTTAAGGTACTATTGTTATTAGGGGATACTTAGAATATTGAAGGTGAAAAAAACAAAAGAGAAATTGTAAGACAAATGTTGTGGTGTTTATTTTCTAGGAAGCAAAACTAGAATTTAGTGTGTAGAATACATTAAGTTAGAATTTTAATGTAAGAACTGCTCTAAAAGGATTTGAATATTTTGCTGAGAGAGGAATATAGATCACATTAGTCGTGTTATCTGATACATTTTAATACTTATAATTAAACTTATTATTCAGAGGTGTTATAGAAGTATAGGTTAATGCTAGAATAATAAAACAATATTTTAGTTTAAATTTGATGTCTTTTTATCTCATGATTCCATTTTTTTTTCTTCAGGCTTACGGAGTAGGTAATATTTACAATCAATTTCTTTTTCAATGTGTGTCTAATGAACTTACTGTATTAACTTCCTCTTTGTTTTGTTAACCTGTCTCTGCATTTTTTTATGTGATGTTATCATGGTCAGAGAATTGGCTGTTGCCTTGATTAGGAAATTTACTTTTTGGAAAGTTTGTGTTATAGATCTGGCTAAAAGGTTAGGGAGAAATAGTTGCTGGTAGATATGATGAATAGGTGACTTTAAGATAGATAAAAAAGACATGAATTATTGTCATAATTTTAAATTGATTTTTCTTGGTTTACAAATTTCAAGTACTCCATGTATAGATAGATTTGATAAAATTCTTATTTCAATAGATGTTAAAGATGAAATCTTAGTTTTTGGTAATCAGATTTGTAAATTATATCAACAGCAGTTTTTCCTATGAAACTAAAGCATCTACTGATGATGCCACATTCAAAAAAAATATTTGCAGTGCTTGATTTTTGCTATATGAGATTCTCAAAAGCTTAAGGTTTGATTTTCCGTGCCCTAATGGAATTTCATTCCAGAGGTATGAAAACATTCACACTGACACAAAGTGCTCTCTCTCCATCTTTTCTTGACCAAAGCTTTAGAATACAGTTAACCCTACTGTTTCTTAAGTCTGGACTTGTCTCCTAGATGTTACTAGCCAGAGGGTTCTAGAATGTGAATTATTTAGAATTCACAGCATTTTTATCATTTTATTCCATTTTACAAATGGTGTTACTGAATGTCCTTTCATTTTGGATATGTAAATATTTCTCATGGGATCCTCTACGAAGGACGATAATAAATGTCACTTAAATACATGTGGTTTGCCATGGCTTAGAAATTCCAAATAGGAGTCCGCATCACATGCTGTCTGATTACCCCCATGGTCGCCAGGGGAATACAACGCTCTGTGCAAATACAGGTACATGATTGTCTGTGCTTGTTTCAAAACATGCTGTACTTGATACAGTGGTGCATTAGAAATTTGTATACCGTGAACTAAAGCCCTTTTAAATATGGATTATCTTAAAATTAGAAAAGATACAGATTTGCAAAGATACAGATTTGCAAAAATGAAACTGAATTGTACCTGAGCAAGGAAAATTGTTGATAATGGAAGAAGTGAAGAATCTTGTTAAGATGTATGCACACTTGACTGGACTATTTGCAACTGGTAAAGTTTAAAGAAATATAATATCCAAACATAAATCACTGATTACCCATTATAATGGGTAATTTAATGCTCTAGTGCTCAGTTGTGCTCAACATTTTCCCTTCCTTTCTCTGTTTCCCTACTTCATTCCACTCCTCCTTTCTGCCCCTTCTCCTCCATTCTTCCTTCTTCCTACTGCAGTCCTCCAACTCCCCTCTCCACCCTTCTTTTGCACTCCTTCCCTCCTCTCACACACCTAGTCACTTACTTACGCACCCGAACAGTCATGCACGCCCTGGATATCAAAATAAGTTCCAAATATCAAACCTGCCAACCTTTTTGAATTATCATATGAGGGAATGCTTTTAGTGGATAAGCAAACCTGTGAATATCATGAATAAGCAAACATGAATATCAAACATGTGAATATATGGTTTAAAGGTTCTGTTCCAAATAACTGCAGTGTCACTAATCTATTTCCTGGCATATCAGGTTCATTGGTAATAAGATAATGAATACTTACCAAAGAGCCCATAAAATGCAGTGATATTTAACTTTTCTCTCATAGCTTTTATTAGCCCTTAATTGTGCATGTAAATAAAATGCAAGAAATCATTGAAAACCCCAATTACAACTGCATCTCTGCAACTTGACTGTAATATGCATTCAAAGTGACTGCTGTCTGAGATTACTTTGGGTTTTGATATGTCCATTATGGGTTTGTGTTTTGTGTAACCTCTTTCATATCTGGTACTTAGATTTTGAAGTTTTCATTCTGTCCTGAGTAAAGTGATGTGTGATTATAGTCAGGCATTTGCATTATTGCCAACATTAAATGGTTTCTGACTCCAGTATGTTGGATAGATTTAGTAACAGTAGTATGAGACCACCAGTGGATGAGTATTAGTATACAGTAATATTGTAGCGTCTCACTAACAAGGGCGCCCAGCTTGTACGTAGTTAAAACAAAGCGTGACGTGTGGTAGCGCGAGCATCACTCATTTACTGGGGCAAATAGTTATGTTAACTACATTATTTAAAACTTTAGTACAAGTTAGATTACTGTTTGATTCATGGTGGATAGGATGGATATTCCTAAGGCATAAAATAAAATATATACATTTAAAACATACGCTTTATTTAAAAAGAAATAATAAAACACGAAGCAATAAAAAAAAGACCGTCCACGTTACAATAAAACCCATGAAAATCAACAGAGTATCCAGCCTAAACTTATGATTCCTGAATCCTAAAATTCCTCACTTGTACTTATCTTAGGCGACCGGAGGTTGAGGTGGGCCGATTCACAGTGGGGGTTTTTGTAATGACAAACAACCGGTTCTCGAAAATCAACAGTCCAGAGCGGCGCTTTCAGAACAAAGGTAGGCTGCAGAATCCCCTGTGGGAAACTAGCGCTGGCTATTTACGTGGGTGTGGGGGATTGTGGGTACTTCAAATGAGAATCAGGGGATGCGCACTGGACATTTTAAAAACAATTTGACATACTGTAGATCTGAATTTTGTATCTATATCGTGGACAGATAATGGAAATAAAACAGAATTAAATCAAGAAATAACGTAGTTCGGCATTTCTTCTGCGTGGCATACGGCAACAGGCATCCTTGAACATCTCGGTGGCGCCAAACGTTCGGATGCCGCTCGGATGGTCATTTGACGTGGAGGCTGCAATCCAGGTCACTACAACCACCCGCGGGGTCAGGAGTCCGAAGCTGCCTCGATGTGACTGCTCCCGGTGACAACTTCAGGTGCAATTCCCTCCTCTCGTGATTCCAGGCCCATCGTTGGTTGCGCGTTCGATGTTCTGGCGGGGACCACGGGCGTCGAGCGGGAATATCACAAGGCAGCGGAGGACGTCCACAGGCAACTAACGTCCACGTAATTGTTCTCTTGCATTCGTACACAGACAGGACCTGCGAAAAGTACAAGCGATAGATATTCTAGGATATGGCAGAAATCAAAAGGTCAAGTCAGGGGATACAATGCGCAATACATGAATAATATGATAACTGGAACGGACGACCTGGAAGAACATTCACCATAAAAACATTTACCATAAAATGCCATTCATTCAGTAATACATTAATTCAGCATTCAGGATTCAGGCAATGCTAAATCTGAAGCATAAAAAGACAAGAGTAAAATATAATAAAATACAATATACAATAAAATAAAATACAATATACAATAAAATAAAATACAAAATACAATATAATATGAATGTTATGTACCGTACACTTCAATGAAAGTGTACTACCCTGGCAACACAAAACTGGATAATCTTAGCCTTCTGTTGCACAAGCAGCTAATAATGCAACACCAAAGGGAGTCTGGAGTGGGTCATCTGGGTCAGCATCCTCAGCATCAACAGCATGATGGGGGAGCTGTAGTTCTGATGTCTGAAAGTACGGTTTAAGATAGTTCACATGCACTTTTCTTTCTTTTCCTGCACCATATAAATCTTTCACAAGATACACTACAGGGCCAATTTTCTTAATTATTCTAGCAGGACCAGACCATCTTGGAGACAATGCATTTGCCCGTTTATACACTTTGGTTAAGACAAGAGAACCTTCTTTAAAAGCAACATTTTTTCTAACACGTTTGTTATAATCTCTCGTCCAAGCTGCTCTGGCTTTATTCGAAGCTTCCTGTGCAGCATCCCAAGCAAGCTGCAATCTTTCCCTGAGAACAGATGGTTCAGTTTCATCGTAAATCGGCCGTTCTGTAAGTCCTATGGGAAAATCAACCTGATGACCAAGGAAGAGATGTATAGGTTGATCCATAACGGACCGGTGAATTGACGTGTTCAGAGCAAATCTCACCTGAGGCAATACTTCATCCCAATAATGAGGTTCCCTAGCACACAAACTGACAAGTGCATCCTTTACTACTCGGTTTGTTCTTTCAACAATACCATTGCTTTGCGGCATGTAAGGGACAGTCAACTTAAAGGTAACATGAAGTTCCTCTAAAACAGCTGCAAGTAAATCATTTTTAAACTCAGCACCTCCATCAGTTTGCAGTTCAAGTGGCGGCCCATAAACAGTTATGAAGTTGTCAATGATTGCTTGAGCAATGGTCTTCGCCCTCTTGTTAGGTAATGGAATTAGCTCTACAAATCGAGATAAATGATCAACAAGAACGAGCACATACGTATTTCCTGTTGGTGTTGTAGGTAGAGTGATAAGGTCTGCAGAAACTCGTTCAAGAGGTCTTGACACGAC